GACCAGTCCAGGCTCTCCAGTTGTAGGTTAAAGGCCTCGCTAGAGTAGTTTTTGAGGTCTCTAGATATGACTGTTTTGTGACAGCCGGCCCTTTGTTTTAGCTTTTTGCGGGTACAGAATATCATATAATGATCACTTAAACCGCATGCTATAACCCCTTTACTGGAGATCCTGGACTTGTCAGAGGTCAGAATGAGATCAATGGTAGTTTGTGTTGTTTCACATACCCGGGTGGGTTGGGTGATTAGCTGGCTGAAGCCGTGCAGATCACAAATCCTACTGAAGGACTTGAAGACGGACGTGTCTTTACGTTGCATATCCGTGTTCCAGTCTCCAATAATAATTGTCTCTACATCCCCGACATCAGCCAAACACCCATCTAATGTATCATAAAAGTCACTCTGTTCCGGTGGTCTATAGATTGTCCCGACTATTACAGATTTAGCATTGTCAAAAAGAATTTCAACCCACACAGATTCGATATTTTCGAGGATTCTACAGAGGCATGGTGGGGCCATTACCAGATCCCTGCCTGTTCAGAGTTACGGAGGCATACTCAGCATTCAGCATTGAAGACAGGCCGCTTGTGACCACAATGAACATGAGACCTGACAAGCCCCTTGTGGAAAGTGCCTTCGGGATTGTGCAGGAGGGCAGTGTTCTGTCCTATCAGATGCCTGCTTTGACGTCTCGGTACACCACACTTCACACTGACACACCACCAACACCCCACTTGCCCATAGAGGGGTATGTGATCTTGCCATGTGATTTACCGCTGGTGTGCTCAGAAGAGGAGCAACTACATATGAACAGCTTATCTGTTGATTTGGAAATGTCTCACAAAATTGAGGAGGCTACCCGTGAGCAAAGCTCTAGCTCAGAGTGGCATCTGCTCCGCAAACCCAGGGTTACTGCCTCTAGGTTTAGAGAGATTTGTCACGTCAGGTGAGAGCTCTGCTAACTCTCTTGCAGAGCGAATACTCAAAGGTACAAGGCAGACTGCAGAAATGAGGAGAGGTGCCGAGATGGAGCCCACAGTAGCAGCTGAATACAGTAGACTGGCAAACGTGAACTACTCCCCTTGTGGCCTTGTCATTCACCCCTCTACGCCCTGGCTTGGTGCCTCCCCTGATGGAGTTGTTTTTGACCCAATAGAATATCCCCAATTTGGCCTTGTTGAATTCAAATGTCCCAATGTCCCAAATTATGTCGACTGCAAATATGTGCAGATAGAATGTGGCTCCCCTAAGCTCAAGAAAAGCCATACCTATTACTGGCAAGTACAGGGTCAACTTCTTGTATCTGGGATGCAGTGGTGTGATTTTGTAGTGTGGGCACAAGAGTGCCTGGTGCAAAGAATATACACAGATCCAGAAGTGCAAAGAGCAATCAGAGAAAAAGTAGACTTCTTTTTTTTTTACACATACATGCCGAAGTACCTGTCATTAAAAAAGTAGTGGGCACTGTAGCCATTGTTAACTCTGTAAGCAGTTAGCTGCTAGACCCTGGATCAGCCATCATTGTTTTTAGGAGGCAATCCCTCAATCATGTGTTCTGAATGACAACAAAATGTGATTTAAATATTTTGTTTTTGATATATATTGTTTGTCACATTTCATATATGTAAATAAATATACAATTGTATTTAAAAAGACAATAAAGTGAAGTGATTTGTGTAATGAATAGTAAATCATTGCATTTGTAAGAAATCATCAACGCATTGTAATTTGCTATTTACCATTTATTCAAACAAAACACTAGCGTGTGTCAGGCAACACGGGATTACGGTGTGCTCACCCAGCTTAATCACAGCTACCTGCACAGGTGTCATCATCTTGTCTTATTTCACCCATTTCTTGACCAGTGCTTTGTTCTGATAGTTTGACAGCATACATGCTACTGCAAACAGTTGGTTGATGTTGTAGGCATGGGACAGGAGGATGACACCATCAAAAAGTTTGTTCTCTTTTATCCTCCTAATGACACGCTCCACATGAACCCTCAGTCTGGCAATGGCCTGTGTCTCCCTCACCTGATAGGCTGGCATTTGCTTCTGCTTTGACAGAAAAGGTGGGCAGTACACCTTGCATTTGCAGCAAACGCTGATCAGGAAGCCCTTATCTACCATCACTGCCATGTTTTCAGTCAACAACGCAGCTATTCCAGATTGTTTGAAAATCTCCTTGTCGCTGACAGAACCACCATACAGACTGGAAACAAAGGTCACTGCGCCATGTGGGGCTATGCCAACCAGGGCTTTCATGGTGCAGTGAGATTTGTATGTAGAATACATTTCACTTTGGAGGAGGAGTGAGGATGGTGTTTGACACCTCAGCTCTGTGCAATCCAGGATCACCTGTGTGTCTGGGAAATCTTTGAATGCCTCTGGGAGGTGGGCTTGAACTTCTGCAGGTGTAAGCCAGATGCACTGTGACCCCAATAAAGTTGTAAGAAAACTCGTCCATGTTGCAATGATGCGGCTCACAGTGGACTGGTGTACGTTGAAGCGGTTTGCAAGGTCCCTCTCTTTCAAACCCACCGACAGGAAGCAGAGAAAAAGGAAGAACTCGTCAATTGGCTGAAGCAGCTGTCTCTGGAAGATAAACAAAAAAAGGGTACTATATTAATGTCATGAGTGTAGCACACCATGGGAAAAACATTAAGTTGTTTTAGTTCTCTGATGTATTCAAAAAGGATTGAGTACTATAGCCTTTTAGCCTACACGAAAGCAATGAAATGTCGGAGAAACATTTTCCCTTCAGTTTGTGTTTAGATTGTGTGTTAAAAGAAACGTAGCCTACCGTTGATGGACGTGCGTGTGTAACCACTTCTTCATTCCTCTTGGCAGCTGATATCGCTCTTGTAACACGAACCATTTTATAAATGGAAGGCTCAATCAAAAACCAGAAGGCCATCAGGTGGTTATAGCTCGGGAATCTGTACACAAAAGACACATGTCAGTCATTAATTGACTCATTAACTGTAACACATGGGCTAATGCTTTCCTCTTGTTTGCTATAATACATTACAATTCAAATAGACTGATTAAGAAGGCACTTGGTGCAGGTATAGTAATATACAGCAGTAACATGTAACAACTACATTAAAGCAGCAGTAATAATAATCTAAAACATACAGGGAACATTTTACACAGAATGACTACTTTTACTCTTCATTCTTAAGTGTGCAACTGGGAGAAACGCAGTGGATGTACTTTTACTTTGGTAAGGTTTTGAAGATTTCCACTTGTAGTAAAGTATTATCAGTATGTTGTTAGTATTAGTATGTTTTACTCCACCACATTTAGTTAACCTTCATAGTTTCTAGTTACTTATGAAAACACATGATTTATGATTCTACATGTTCAGTTCAGGAGTATTTTCAAACCATAGTATTTGTACTTATACTTCAGTTAAGTTGAGTAGCCTACTTATTCCAACACTGCATGCAAATAGTCAGCAGTCAAACGGCAGGTAAACAGGATTCTTTATAAGCTAACCCATCTCAAAAACTTGGATAGAATCTAGCCAAAACATTACCTGGTATAGAATCGGACGTAAGCAAAACTCTCGCTGGACTCTTAACTCCTGCAGTTGCTTCTGCAGATCCTCCACTGTTTTGGAGTTGTCTTCTGTAGCTTGAGAGGACATGTCCAGTGAAGCTGGTTCAGGGGTTGAGCAGTAATCATGGTCACGGACATCGATGTGCTCTTCCTGCTCCTCCCGAGAGACCGGTTCAGTGGGCCGCTCCCTTCTCTCCCAAACACTAGCCCGCGGTGTTTGAGCAGTGAAGTGATTCCACTCAAACAGAGTTGGGACAGCACCTTTCACAAGCCTCCTACGGCCATCAAGGGTTTTTGGCTCTATTAGTTGATCCGTAGCGAAGTGACGACTGCAGACCTTGGAGTGAGAGGAGAGTGTAAAGTTATCGCGTCGTATTTTAACCAGCCACTGTCTTCGCAGCTCGAGTTCGGTCGGAAAGCCATGGAAACTTAGGACGCCGTTGAATTTAGCTGACGCCGTACAAAGTGGGACACAGCAGTGCTCGGAGTAGTTTTTTACTTGTCTTTGCAAATGCTCCGTTTTGAAAATCTTCCGTCGACTCATATTTAAACCACAGATTTAAACAGTAAAACATTTGTGGACGCTCAGCTACGCAGACCAGAAGCAACCCGGAAGCGTCCGAGCAGTATAACGGCTAAGGCGGAAGTACGTCTCAGACCCTAGTGCATGTAGCCTATTTGTTTTCTCTAACGTTTCTTCAGATATAGCGGGAAACCATAATGTTGCTTCCTAGCTTTGCGGGGGAGCGCGGCTCCCATACAAAGTGAAGGCCGGTGCGATGTGCTGTTCTGACTACCTCTTTGTGTTCTCTCAGTCTCTGCACTCGACCTTGCTACTTTCAATATTGCAAGCTAAACTTTCTTCTGACTCTTCCCCTCGTTGGTATCTAACCCGTCAGAACCTGGGATTAGTGATTGTGTCTATTTATTCTATAGTCATAGCAATCTCATGAGCACAATAAGCATAATGTAATAATAAGAATCAGTCTTGTAATGTTATATAAAAATAGACTCCACAAATCACGTAACTCATATGAGAAACCTTTATCAAAGGAAAACCTGAGGAAAACTCAATAGAACTGACAATACCTGGTGTAAAAGTTGGGGTTGAAGAGCTTAACAATTAGCTGTTTTTAAAATTTTCAGTCAACCCAGCTAGCAACAAACTTCTTCTTTTAGTGTGGTATTTGTGAAGTTTTTACTTTGGCGCCGTCTGCTGGTAGTATCAAGAACGACAGCAATACACGGTGCTTTATCCCAGACATTATGACCCAAGGACACTGAGATGAACAGACTGATCTCATAGACGACCAACTTTCAATGCAATTGTCCAATTTTTCGTAATTTGTATGTCATTAGAACAATATGAAAGATGCTAAAAGAAAATGATATCCCAATCTTTGAGGATGACACCATTTATGTTGTTGTGGCCCTGCAGGTTCTGAGCGTGGGGACTGTGCGGTGCAAGACCAACGGTGTGGATGACGGCGACCCCAGTGCTCCTCGCACGGAGAAAACCACGGCACACGACTGCGTCCTTTTCTCCCAACGAAATCAGGCCTACCACGACCCCCAGAGCAGCCAGGTACGGTGTGCATCTGTGTGTATATGTTGTTGTTGTGTGTATGTGCGTGTGTGTTTGTTGGCGGATTTTGGGGGGAAACATGCCTGATCTATTAAAAATGACATTTCCACACAACAAAGCGTCATTGTCAATAAGAATATTCTCCTTGATTACATTTTATTTTGTCTTTAACAAATTCATAGTCAAAGTCCTTGTAGGGAGGTGGCCTTGGCTAAGTTGTATACATATGAGATAGCTGTTTGTAAAACCACATCTCAACTTTGCATTAGAATCTTCATTAACATAACAATAACACACTTCAAGTCAAACCTTGATCTTTTACTAACTCTTATCCAAGTGACTGACTCTGACTCTATTGAAACAGTAGACAGTAAACAACACTTTTAATAACACACACACACCCACCCCCACACACACACACACACACACACACACACACACACACACACACACACACACACACACCACCAATTAGTGTGATGCATCAGGTTTGGCAGGAATACTTATGCAGATGTAAACACATCATTAATCAACCAGGCGTGTGTGTGTGTGTGTGTGTGTGTGTGTGTGTGTGTGTGTGTGTGTGTGTGTGTGTGTGTGTGTGTGTGTGTGTGTGTGTGTGTGTGTGTTAGTACATCAGGGAGGGAGGTTGGGAGAGGAAACAGCTTAGACTCCCTGGAGCACAGCACTTGTCCAATTAGAGGATTTGTATGAGAGTGCTCTGGATATTTTTAGAAATATAGGTTCAATTATAAGAACATGTGGGGAAATGTGAAATTTGGGCCCAGACACTAAGCATATTGCATTTAAAATATTAGTTTACTTAAGCATTGTCTCTAGATTAGAGAAACAGCATGTATTTTGAAATAACATTAATAATTTACAAAGCACAAAAGACTAACCAAAGACCCTAACAACTAACTACCCAAACCAATAACTTCCATAACTAACCATGTCATAATTATTCACCTTTTCATCGCAATGAAAAACAAACATGACCCCCTTGATGTACACTGAACAAAAATATAAATGCAACACTTTTGTTTTTGCTCCCATTTTTCATGAGGTGAACTCAAAGATCTAAAACATTTTCTATAAATACAAAATAACCATTTATCTCAAATATTATTCACAAATCTGAAAAAATCTGTGATAGTGAGCACTTCTCCTTTGCCGAGATAATCCATCCCACCTCACAGGTGTGGCATATCAAGATGCTGATTAGACAGCATGATTATTGCACAGGTGTGCCTTAGGCTGGCCACAATAAAAGGCCACTCTAAAATGTTCAGTTTTATCACACAGCACAATGCCACAGATGTCGCAAGTTTTGAGGGAGCGTGCAATTGGCATGCTGACAGCAGGAATGTCCACCAGAGCTGTTGCCCGTGAATTGAATGTTCATTTCTCTACCATAAGCCGTCTCCAAAGGCGTTTCAGAGAATTTGGAAGTACATCCAACCGGCCTCACAACCGCAGACCACGTGTAACCACACCAGCCCAGGACCTCCACATCCAGCATGTTCACCTCCAAGATCGTCTGAGACCAGCCACTCGGACAGCTGCTGCAACAATCGGTTTGCATAACCAAAGAATTTCTGCACAAACTGTCAGAAACCGTCTCAGGGAAGCTCATCTGCATGCTCGTCGTCCTCATCGGGGTCTCTACCTGACTCCGATTCGTCGTCGTAACCGACTTGAGTGGGCAAATGCTCACATTCGATGGCGTCTGGCACGTTGGAGAGGTGTTCTCTTCACGGATGAATCCCGGTTTTCACTGTTCAGGGCAGATGGCAGACAGCGTGTGTGGCGTCGTGTGGGTGAGCGGTTTTCTGATGTCAATGTTGTGAATCGAGTGGCCCATGGTGGTGGTGGGGTTATGGTATGGGCAGGCGTATGTTATAGACGACGAACACAGGTGCATTTTATTGATGGCATTGTGAATGCCACAGAGATACCGTGACGAGATCCTGAGGCCCATTATTGTGCCATTCATCCACGACCATCACCTCATGTTGCAGCATGATAATGCACGGCCCCATGTTGCAAGGATCTGTACACAATTCCTGGAGGCTGAAAACATCCCAGTTCTTGCATGGCCAGCATACTCACCGGACATGTCACCCATTGAGCATGTTTGGGATGCTCTGGATCGGCGTATACGACAGCGTGTTCCAGTTCCTGCCAATATCCAGCAACTTCGCACAGCCATTGAAGAGGAGTGGACCAACATTCCACAGGCCACAATCAACAACCTGATCAACTCTAGGAGATGTGCGAAGGAGATGTGTTGCACTGCGTGAGGCAAATGGTGGTCACACCAGATACTGACTGGTTTTCGGACCCCCCCAGACCCCCCCCAATAAAGCAAAACTGCACATTTCAGAGTGGCCAGCCTAAGGCACACCTGTGCAATAATCATGCTGTCTAATCAGCATCTTGATATGCCACACCTGTGAGTTGGGATGGATTATCTCGGCAAAGGAGAAGTGCTCACTATCACAGATTTTTTCATATTTGTGAACAATATTTGAGATAAATGGTTATTTTGTGTATATAGAAAATGTTTTAGATCTTTGAGTTCATCTCATGAAAAATGGAAATTGACACCCGATGGACACACGAATATGGAATTGTGAATTTCGCACGAAGATGGCCCAGAACCACACACGAAGGCAACATTTACATTACATTTAAGACATACAACTGCAACGAAAGTAACAAAAACAATTATGTTAAAGTACTATGATACTGTACTGATATTTTCAGACTTTGTTCTTTACTTTATCCGTCTTTATATGTAATAATAATGAATAATTCCTTACATTTATTATAGCGCTTTTCCAGATGCTCAAAGCGCTTTTACAAATACACATTACACATATTTTTTATACATGCAATGGTCACTGTGGACAATACCCACAGGAGCAAGTTCAGGTGAAGTGTCTTGCCCAAGGACACAACGGCTTTACAGACACAGCGGCGGCGGGTTTCACCCCTTGATCTGATGATCATTGCACAGCGCCACACCGTCCATCTTCACGCCTCGAAGTCATCGAGGCGCTTTTACAAGTACACATTGATATCATACATGTACTGTGGACATTACCCACAGGAGCAAATCCGGGTGAAGTGTCTTGCCCAAGGACACAACGGCCTGACGCAGTGGCGGCAGGAGCGGGTTTCGAACTGGAGTTCCCCAGCACCCCCCTTGATCTGATGATCAGATGCAAAGACCACTGCGCCACCCGTCCCATGTAGAAGATATTAAGTTTTCTCCGTAATGTTGTTTCCATAGCAACAACAACTTCCTGTCAACTCGCCTTCAAAATAATATATTATATCCTTTTCAGTTTCACAGAACACAAATTGGGTTATTTACACAATATGTCATGATTTTGTTGTGCAATAAAACAACCCGATGGACACACGATAGAAGACATTTTCAAATTCGGCTCTGATCGTAGCAACATCGGGCCATTCGTGAGGGCATCTTAAGCCATCGTATGACCGCCAGTGGAGTTTCTCAGGCCCCGGCAGCAACTTCGTGAGCGGTGGAAAAATCTTTGGCATGCTAAAATATTGCCGAAGGACCTTGCGAAGGTTCATTTTCGTGTTGAATTCGTGTGTTAATTTTGCCCTTCGTAAGGCCATCGTGAGGGCATCTTGTTATCATCGGTGCCATCGGGCCTTCGCCCCGATCAGAGTGAGGGCGAATGCCCGATGGCACCGATGATAACACGAAGATGACACGATTTGACAAGATGCCCTCACGAGTGCCTTACGAAGTTTCCGCTCACGAAGTTGCTGCCGGAGCCTGAGAAACTCCACCGGCGGTCATACGATGGCTTAAGATGCCCTCACGAATAGCCCGATGTTGTTACGATCAGAGCCGAATTTGAACATTTCCTTTATCGGGTGTCAATTTCGGGACAGTGTGACGCGGGCTTAATAGGTGACCTTTAAGAAATCAATCAATTGACATAAGTAATTATATAAATATAAATATTTATTGATTCAAAAATGATTTTGTTACCTTCTCCGGAGCCTTTAATCTGAACTCCTTCCATAGCAGCATTCTTCTGCTTCTGAATGCAGTAATTGACCAACCAGAATCGATTTTCAACAAAACTGCGTATTAACAATGAGGTACAATTATTCTGGATCACATGCTACATTGTTACTGGTGAAGCCTTCATGTGTGTGACTGTAATTTGATTCATACCTAAATATACACCTTATTATGATGAATGAACCTGAACTCCATTTACCACAATTCCATGTTGTGTAGATTTATTTCTGCTGCTAAATGCTGAAAGGTGGGGATAGTGGCTTATCCTGCACACACATACAATCAGGATATTTTCATAAAAGAATCAAATCAAGGGGTTATACCAACTCAGCTCCAAGCAACCAGACGTAGTAACCAGTCAGTCCAGTCAGAACCTTCTCTAAGGTCTCCCCGCCCCCAACCTACTAATCATAAAAAACTGAAACCCCATAAAACCCCAAAAATATTAATAACATTTAATAATATTAAAAATAGTATCAATTCTGAGGATAACTAAATAAATAAATAATTAAACAAAAGCCAGAGAGAAAAAGTGAGTTTTAAGTGTTGATTTAAAAAACCCCAGGGTCTGGGCCGACCTCACATGGAGGGGCAAAGTATTCCAGAGCCTAGGGCGAGCCGCTGCGAAAGCTCGATGCCCTCGGGTTTTAAGCCTGGTCTTAGGCACTACCAGCAACAGCTGATCAGCCGACCTTAAGGCTCTGCCTGGGGTGTAGCGATGGAGGAGTTCGGCTATATAGGCAGGAGCCAGCCCAGTTAGGGCTTTAAAAACAAATAAAAGGAGTTTAAAATCTATTCTGAACCGAACTGGAAGCCAGTGCAATGAAGCCAGAATTGAGGTGATATGGTCGCGCTTTTTATGGCCAGTGAGAAGACGTGCAGCTGCATTCTGAACTAGCTGGAGGCGTCTAATTGAGGCCTGATCCATACCCACATACAGAGCATTGCAGTAATCCAGTCTCGAAAGGCGTTAATAACCCTTTCTAGGTCTTTAAAAGATAAAAACGATTTGGTCTTAGCCAATAGTCGTATTTTGAAAAAGCAGGTCTTGACTACAGTGCTAACCTGCTTATCAAATTTAAAGGCGCTGTTGAAGGTCACTCCAAGGTTCGTGACAGAGGGGAGGATATTTGTATTGAGGGAGCCCAGAATATCAATCGGGGAGACTGTTGGTTGGGGTCCAAAAAAGATGACCTCGCTCTTGCTTTAATCAAAGGGAGTAAAGAGGGAAAATGCATCAAAGACTGCGGCAAACTCAAGGTAATCATTGCAAAATGGGGTATAATTGGCTTGTAATTATTCACATTTGTCCTCCTTTCTCTGCCCTAACATAATGTAGACTCACCCAAAGGGGAATTAACTGAGCCTCTACTGCTTTTCCCGCCCTTTTCCTTTATTCCCCTTCCTCTGCCTCTGGCTCTCTTTTTCTCTCTCTCTGAAGATCTCTCCTCACCCTCCAGGCTCGCCCACCTCCCACACAGCAGCAGACCTGCACCGCTCCACCCCGACACCTCAACCTTTCTCCTCTTGCCCAGGAGTCGGACCCCCCACCACCCCGGTAGACTCCACAGCGGCTTCCATGGTAACTCCGGCTGATCTTCCCACCATCACTGCCCTGACCTCCCCCACCTCTCCCGCATCCATAGCTCCTCCGGAACAGTAGCCAGCGATCGATGGATATCATGGGGTTGTAGGAAGTGAAAAGAAAAGCGGAGGAGGAAATATATAACATGATGTCACATGAGTGGAAGCATCGAAGTAGCTGATGAAAACAGAAAAAGTGGATGCTTGTCGGCATTTCCAACCTAAAAGGCATTTCCGGGACTATATTTTGACAACACTCCTAAATGCATTTCAGCATTTTTGATCCATTACGGTAAACAACATCATCATCACTTACGAGTCACGGTGAATCTTTACCTGTATGAATAGCTCAGCTGTTCAACAACCTCCATTTCTTTCCATCTGACACAAGTGCCTTTTCAGACCGCTTTCGGCTATCTTCACAGCTCCTGAACAGACGGGAACATTACAACTACAGTATGTTCTTTCACATTCTGTTTATCTGTCACTCAACATGTTAGAAGGTCATTACTTTTCAGGACCAAAAATGCCATCGAGGACATATTTCAATACAGCGGAGGAGATTTCCTGCAGGTATAGATAGGACATTTCCTGCAGGTACAGGAAATGTTTATTTATGTTTAAACCGGGCATTACAACGTTCCATTTTTGCACACCACACATTTTGATTAAAACTGAAATGATTATTCCTAGTAAAAATCTTGCCTACTACAGCTTTAATGAAATAGCTAAACATCACAAAGTACTATAGTGTTGAGTGTTTCTGCATTATTGTACAAGTGTATTGTGTCCGTTTCAAGGTCCTTGTTACTTTGGTTCTCCTCACTTAAAGAGGAACACCACCTAAATGAAAACACCAATATCTTATTTCAATGGTGCAGGAAGGTTCCATCATGATAATTGTGAACATGAGATACTCTCTCTCAAAGCCACAAAGAAGAGAAGAGAAAACCAGTGGTCAAATCTGTGACTTCATCAGGTATAAAGTCTTGAGCATGCAGCTCCATAGACAATTACATTTTATTTATAAACCCAAAAGGCATTTTTCTTTTGTAGTTCTATTGTAATCCATTACCCCTGAGTGCTCTGTGTTGGAGCAGTTGGAGACTTTATACTTTACGACATCACACATTTGAGTCTGAGCGCTCATGGATGAGTTTATGTTTACTAATATAATTATAAAGAACCACAGGAATAATATGTATAAAATAAGAAGTTAAAAAAAAAAGTGTCCTGCTTTAATTGGAGTGGAAAGTTGTATAGCTCTGTGTTAAAAGTCTGCTGTAACACTTTCTGTGACTATTTTCAAAAGATGGCTTGCTTGCTTTATCAGCTTCTCCGTCACAGGAGAGGTGACTCTATGCCAGCTAAGTGTTTTTCTGTACACATGTTGCCAGCATTGAACACAAAACCTGTTACCTCTCTGTAAATATTGTATGACACCTAATGTGTGTCCCTGTGCATTTTTCATGCCATGTAAGTGTTTATGTGTCTACATTCGTGGCTGTTTTGCACATTTAAATTCATGCCTTTCAAGCTGCTGAATCAAGGGATGATATCAGCATACTGTAGCAAGTGTTATTGTGTGACCATGTTTGATCAGCGCCTTGTTAACTGTAGGCTACAATAGATTTGATAGATTATATATATATAATTAGGGCTAATTAATAAATTAATTATTTTAACGCGATTAACGCATGTGTATTTTTTGTCCTCGGCCGCCCCGTAGTTTCAGAGCGCATCGAGTTTAAAATACCATCTACAAGCTGATGCTGACAGCCCCGCTCCTGTCGCCCGCTTGTGGCAGACCACACTTCCACGCTCACCGGCAGGCCCGGACTGGCCATCGGGAGGACCGGAAGGTGTATGTGCGGCACGAGCGAGAACGCGCACACCTTACGTGTATTGTTGTTGTTGTTAGCATCTGGTGCTAGCTAGCTACGCTAACGGATATAAGGAGCTGTTTCAATTAAAACAGAGGAGCGGCATTTCGCCGACAACTGCGCCGAGCACTTGACTTTATGCAGGAAGCCAGACAGTGGGACATTGTACGAAAAGTCAGCACGGATAGTGCGCGCAACATGCATGCAGCGTCCAGGCAGCTCCCGTTCGAGCATATGCCTTGAGTTGCACATAGCTCCAACGATCCATCACAGTGTCTCTCCACACACACACACACACACACACACACACACACACACACACACACACCACACACACACACACACACACACACACACACACACACACACACACACACACACACACACACACCACACACACACACACACACACACACACACACTCACACACACACATTGTATGAGAGAGGTTCCAGGTTGAATTGAGGCGGATATTTGTAATGTTCAGAGGTTGTTGTGTTGAGAATATTCATGAGAATATTTGTCATTGTTCAAGTGAAACAAACATTTGCATAAAGCATATTTGTCCACTCATATGATGATAAGACTATTAAAAACTTGAAAAATATCCCTCTAAGGTACATTTAGAACAGATGAAAAATGTGCGATTAATTTGCGATTAATCGCGATTAACTATGGACAATCATGCGATTAATCGCGATTAAATATTTTAATCGACTGACAGCCCTAATATATATACATATATATATGTATATATATATATACTGTAACTACACAGTGGCTATTTTTGATCAGTCCAGCACAGCTGCCTGCAATATTGCAAACGTTTCTGCCCTTGAGCTTTTATTGTTAAACGTCCTGTGTCGTTTCTTGGACAAATGGGAGAAGATTTCTGATAGATAGGACTTTATCGGAGTATGGACACATTTTTAAACAAACAGGTTTTTTCAATTGGTAAGTGGCCATTGTACAAGCACAAAAACACATTAATCTTGCGTTATTGTATGTAAGGACGTATTTCTGGTCTTCATACCATTTCTGCACGTGGCCAATCACTTTTATAGAAACATTGTGTTATTCGATAAAAGCTGATCTAACATGTACATGTATAGGCGTAAGGATGAGTTTAGAAATCCCCAATGATGGATGTTTTTCAGCTCTCTTTCTTTAAGAAAACGAATCAAGGGCACACATTGAAGACAATGGAGGGTGATCAGAACGTGGGCTTTGACATGCAAATTGAGACATTTTGTATATGGTATCATTGTCTAAGTTGTTGTTCAGATGCTTCGGTGCAGTATGTTTGTTGTGTTTCTCTGTAATAAAATGCTGTGATTAAGAACAGACAGTTCTGATTTTTTGCACCTTGTTTGTATGTATATTTCAGAAGGTGATGGATTGTGATTAAACAACCAACATGTCAACATCCCGCAGCTCATATCTTATATCGAGGTGATTTATATGCAAAGCAAGAGATTAACATATCCATAGCAACCAGTCGTCATGAGTGTCACACAGGGATGTCACTATGTTATGGAAGTAAACAAAGGAGTCCAATGGAGGCGTTTGGAGACGTAAGTCCGTTTTCCATAGCTGAACATTTGGAAAGACCTTTAAACCGAAATGCAGCTGAAGTTTCATTGATTTTACAGAGAGTTAGATCATATCAAATCAAAATCAAGTTTTATTTAGCACATTTATAAACGATTTTTGGTCGAGCCAAAGTGCTGTACATATAATAAAAATAGCCTAGAGACACTTTACAGCAAATAGCCTACAACAGCACAGATTGTTCAGAATATCAGTATGCCGTGACACGCCTTATTTGGACTGCCTGACCCGATGCATGGCCGATTCAACATGTTGAATCGGCCATGCATCGGGTCAGGCAGTCGCACCAAGCAATCACTCTCCGATTGGCTGTTCAGCTAGCGAATCAGAAGCGAAACGGAAGTGAGGGACGTAAACAAACGATTTAAGAAGTCACACACAGCACTGATTCTTGGGAATTTGGATAAAACAGGTTTTAATTTTGAAAATAAAAAGTTTGTTAAATTACCAAATCTGAAGTTATATCATTATAGACCAAGGTCTTGGCTGTTCAGCAATGTACCGGTGCAACCTCCTCATTTTGTATTTTTTTCATAAAATAGGTTTTTCCAGTCATTACTTTGTTTTTGTAAACACCGTCAGACACAATAAAAAGTGATTTATTTTTTATTTGTATTTAGTCTAATATGTATTTAGAGCTTTTCAATCATTATCTGGCATTCTAAGTACACATATATGCTGTAAAATGTTGAATATTCACTTTTGCTCATTTTTTATACTGTTTCACGTGTGCTCCTTTAAAATATCTTACATCATACAATGTTTACTTTTAGCTTAAACAGACAAAGTAATGTTTTTTTTACTTAAAAAACACATTTTTGTATTAAAAGAGACTATTACTTTAATAACTCAACAGCACTGAAGAAACAGATTACAAGCATATTCATTTAAAACAAATAAAACTCCCTCTGACGGTGGTGACTTTGGAACTGACGATGGTGACACTAATCTGACGGTGGTGACACTGGCCTCATTACAACATACAATTCCAAAATGTATACCACTCAAGTCAATGCCTTGCTTAACAACTTTATTTAACAATTTGGTACAACAAATAACAATTGTGAGAACTGTGATAAACATTTAATTAAGGAACTTAAGGTACAATTAAGCAATATCATTAATAAAAGTACCCCACCCCCATATCATCAAATATCAAATCATCATAGTTAAAAAATAAAGTGATTACCAGTTGCAATAATGTACAATTCATTACTGACACCATCTTAAACTGTCATCTAGTGCCCCCTACTCATAAAATAATACATTATATTGTTCTTTAAACTGTATATTGGACGTGAAGAACAGATAACAAATAACAATTGTGAACACTGTGGCAAACATTCAATAAGAAACATATAGGTTCAATGAAGCAATAAGCTATCATTAATAAAAGTACCCCATCCCCATTAATAATCATCATAGTAAAAGATACCAGTAGCAATAAGATAATAATTCATCACTCACTGTGAACTGAGTGCCCCCCACTCAAAACATAATATACATTATATTCTTCTGTATATTGGACGTGAAGAACAGATAAATGAATAACTACATCTTAAAGTCTCTTTTCCATAAACTGAAATGTTTCTAAATACAGAAAGCATTCTGTGTAAACATCACAAAACACATCTGGCACAAAAATAATAATAATTCATAAGTGAACTCCTGTGAGTATTCCCTGACTGTTTCTACATCACTCCACCACTCATTCAGCTTTATCAGGACGTAGGCCTATATGGTGTATATGTTTCTCCTCTATGAAGTCCATGACTGCAGCATAGTATTAATTTCGTCAGCTATTTTTTAATTTTGTTTTAGTCTTAGTCCTCTGTTAAATTTTCTTTTAGTTTTAGTCATATTTAGTCACCTTCATCCTGTTTTAATTTAGTCAAGCTTTAGTCGACTAAAAGTCTGAGCATTTTAGTCTTATTTTAGTCGACTAAAACAGTAACTATTTTAGTCAAGATTTAGTCGACTAAAAGTCTGAGCATTTTAGTCTTATTTTAGTCAAAGAAAACTAATTATTTTAGTCTACTTTTTGTCAATGAAAACGGTTGAGTCTTTTTTAGTCATCAGATTATATAGAACATTTCAGTCAAACTAGTCTAGCCAAAACCAATAATTTGTCATTTTAGTATATATAAATAAATACGATTATATCTTGTCCTTATTTGATGAAAAACACAGGTTGAATGATTAAGAATGCAGCTTCGCAGAGTGTATCTGGTTTGTGGTGTTTTTACCAGCTGTGTTATGGCCACATTGCTTCCCTTCTGATGAAACAATGCATTCGCTTTTTTTCTCCGACTCATTGGTAGCGAAAATGGGCCCAAATATCACATTGTTTCTTTCTCCCAAGCAGTGGTGGCTTTAGACTTGTTCGTTGTCAGTCATTTTGACGGACAGGATCGTAACATTTCCGTCATAATCCATTATTATCCGTTGAGTGCACAATTTATCAATCACTCGCGCTGACGGGGGGGTATTCGGTTAACGCGAGTGCGACCACTGCTCCCAAGCCCTGTTGTTGCCATTTCATTTTATGTTGAATAACTAAGGTTAGTTAGACCATGAGTTAGACCCGAGTCTTCCTGACAGTTCACAGTGTGCCGCTGCCCGGTGTAATTCAAATCTACCGCCGCGCTCAGCACAGACACACAGCTGCTGCCCAGCCGCAGCACGGACACACAGCTGCTGCCCAGCCGCAGCACCGGAAATGGAACTGCTGGGA